TCCATTTCTGAGAGAATAATATTTATTTCCACCATATCTGAGGTCAAAGCTCTGGGGGAACCCTTGTATCTTTCAGATTTCCAAAAACAACTGCAACATAAAATGACGCAAGCAGACGTGACTAATCACACACAAAATTCCCAGGAACATTACAAAGCTCAATGTCCCATTTAGTAAAACACCAAAAGGTCGATCCATTCCACCATGGAAAAATTCAACACCTTACATGTCTACCCCAAAGAAAACAGTGTACATAACATTTGTTACAACAAATTTCGTTAGAAACGGTAAAGTAACACACATAATTTATGGGCGATGATGTATACGAGTGTTATGCTGACAGATTCGCACAACCTGGAAATATTGGCTGTGCTTGCGCTGTATACAAAAATGGCTTACTGCAACATCAAGTTAATATGATTATATAAATTGGGCCAGCACTACACAAACGGAGTTGGCAGGTACACTCCTTGCAACGGAATTCTTAACGTCTCGGAGCTTTGGAGTAGTTTTCTGTGACTCTCTAAGTGTTCTTCGGACACTTAAGTTCTATCAAAGCAGGTGGCGATTAGAAAATTGTGAGTCGCATTAAGCGTAACGTAACTTATGCATTGGAGCGTAATTTCAACATTCAATTTGTATGGCTACCATCTCATGTTGACATACGCAAGCACGACCACTTTGACGAAGAAAGCCTGCAGCAAAGGTACAGTGAACATAGATCATTGGATGCCTCTTCCTAGGGTTGCACATATATTCAAAAGTTCTCATAAAGAAGATATAACTGCATGAAAAGAGATGTGTGTGTGTGTGTGTGTGTATGTGTGTGTGTGCATACAGATAAACAGACAGACAAACATATAGAAAGAGAAATAGATATATAATAGATATGGAAACAGAGACAGAGAGACACGCAGACACAAATAAAGATCTGGATATAGATAAGTAAACAGAGAGAAGAAGAAAGATGGAAGCAGTGTTCCGTGCAATCAAAATCCAATAAACCCAACAGGTTGCATGTAAATACGGTTGCAAGGCGCTCGCTACCAAGACAAGCTTTAGAAAAAAGACCTTTGTGCTATCCAGTTATGTCAGTACCATAAGATAAAAGAAGAAGAAAAATAAAAAGAATAAAAAAAGGAAAAAATAATATCACATCAAGGTAATGTAGCCGATGAAGATCTCGAAAAAAGACATACAAAACCATAAAACATTGTCATGCGGACAATGCACATAAACATAGCACACAAATACGCATGCAACCACATGCACTCAGACGCAAACAGACAGATAGAAAGAGAAAGAGAGAGAGAGAGAGAGAGAGAGAGAGAGAGAGAGAGAGAGAGAGAGAGAGAGAGAGAGAGAGAGAGAGAGAGAGAGAGAGAGAGAGAGAGGGAGTGAGTGAGAGAGAGAGAGAGTGTGTGAGTGAGAGAGAGAGAGAGAGAGGCAGATAGACAGGCAGACAGATACACAGATAGACTGGCATTAGAGAAAGAGAAAAATATATAAAAGGGTTACATACATACGCGTATGTATGTAGTTATATAGAAAGATAGATATACAGATACCTAAAATTCGCGCATTTATCCGTATCCTGATATAAGTGACTGCAATAAGTCGTAGGAACTCATACATCATAGAATAAAAAATAAAGATCCTTTCACCGAGTTATTCATGGAAAATAGACTCGAAATCTCGTTGCGAAGAACTGAATATAACCATGAAAAAGAAAAGAAGAAATGAAAAGATTTTATAAGGATAACCAGCGCCACCGACCTGGGGAATGAACATCAACGGGTTTCCTAGCCTGTTGGGAAGCGTCATGCCACGACTCAGATAACGCGGGTGCCCTCAGTGCTTTGGGGATCCAGCTGTTTAAATACGGTGATAGATAGATATATAGATGTATAGGGATGTGGGTGGATGGACCGAAAGATAGATACATATTTAGGTAGATAAATATATAGGTGGGTAAGCTGGCAGATAGATATATAGACAGAAATGTAGGTAAATAGATAATTAGTGAGATAGATTGATAGATAAATAGATGGATAGATAGAGAGATAGATAAAAAGATGGATAGATAGAGATATAGATAAAAAGATGGATAGACAGATAGACAGAAATATAGATAAATAGATAACTAGCGAGATAGAGTGATAGATATATAGATGGATAGATAGAGTGATAGATAAATAGATGGATAGATAGAGTGATAGATAAGAAGATAGAACGACAAGTATCCTATACAGATATACTTAATAATGCATCGAAAAATATGTTCAACCTTAAAATCGAGTTTGGCCTTTGCTAAAGCCAGATCAGCACAAGAAAAGCGAATCTCCAACCATATCATCAACGCAAATCCAGTGACCAAGAGCCATCGGACAGCCATGAAACATCTCTGGCGAATTCAGGTACTAAATCATTGCTAAAGTAAGAATATGGATCTGGAGTGCGTATCCGTGGAAGAGATGTGAAAAATTAATGCACGGTCTTGACATAATAATACCAAAATTCAGTGGATTCTTTACAATTCATACATACACCCACATACACACACACACACACACACACACAGAGAGAGAGAGAGAGAGAGAGAGAGAGAGAGAGAGAGAGAGAGAGAGAGAGAGAGAGAGAGAGAGAGAGAGAGAGAGAGAGAGAGAGAGAGAGAGAGAGAAGGTGTCATGCCACCACCTTTGCAACCTCTACTTTCAACGGGAGTGCGAGTTGGTTGAACGTTGCAGGCTGTGGGTGTGACAGGTGAGTGGTAGAATGTTCTCGAAGGCTTAAGGAAATTCAAGACTTCAGTTCATAAGTTAGGTTAGCATTTTATTGGGGGGGGGGGTTAATTCAATAAAGTGATTATGATTATCAGAAGCAGTGTAAAGTGATGGATGATAAAAAAAAAAATCTAATTCTTGTGATATTACCGAAGAGAGAAAATAGCTTTGGAGCAACTTTAATTTTTCTTTTCTTCATCTTCTTCTCTTCTTTTTGTTTTGGCTTTTCCTTTTTCATCGCCTTTCATACCCTTTCTCTCTCTCCAATTATATATCTCTTTTTAGAACTAACAATTAAATAAATTGATAACCAGCTTATGTAGTAGGCTTACTGATATTTTGCCAATATACCTATGTGACTAAATATCAGCTAACACATTCTATCTTAGATAATCACTTATGTCTTTTTCTTCTAAAATGTAATCGACCAAATGCTGTAATAAAGACCACCTCGATTTCAGCCGAAATGACAGAGGAACAAGGATGCTTAGCAGTCGGCGGCGTCATGGTCAGTAAAGTCAAAAGAATATTCAAATTCTATATATCTTTAACCTCCCCAAACATCATCTAAATACAGTGCAAATGTGTCCAAAATACTTTAAAGAATAAGTCAACTGATTCTAGATAGGACAAACTTATATATTTATTTATTTATTTTTTAGTACATGCCGCATATGATCATAACAGGAGGTGACTTCAACAACCCCATTGTAAAAGGGACTATGCTGGAGGTCATGGACATCATCCTCGGTCACCTTGGCTACTGGTAAGCGTGGCGTGAGAGGTACTCGCTCAAGGCACTCTTTTTTACTTCTTTTTAAAAAATTATATCGTCATACATTGCTCACAAATGGTCTTGGACGCTATTCGTAAATCATTGATGTACGGGACGGAGGAGTGTGGATAGGTGTGGGTGTGAGGTATGGGTAGGCATCGGTTGGTGTGGGTGGGTGTGGGTGTGGTAAATGTGAGTTGGTTCATGTACGGATGGTGCGGGTATGTGGTGTGGGATAAATGATAAATGAGAATTTTTTGCGTATGTGTGTATTTTCTATTTGTATGTTAATCAGTATGCATCTATGTGCAGACATGTTGATACAACTCATCTTACTCAGAGCGAAGATCAAATTCAAAACTCATCAGTGTGTCTTGTGTTTGTGTGTATCTTCTGTTTGTATCTGTATCTACATGCATTCGGAGGCTAATTCAGAGCGGGGATCAAGTGACTTCAAAACTTATCATATCGAAGTCCAAAATATGTCACGATGTCATTCTACCTAAATAACTTCTCAAATACCAACTGCTCCTTAAAAAAACAACAATAACAACAAATACAGGGATCCATACAAAACGTACTATTAAATCTAAGAACTTTAATAACCATATTTTTAACCTCTGTAATAAAAAAAAAGTTACAGAATAATCGGAGCAGCGAACCTTTCGGCTGGATCAAAGCTTCCAAACAACACGTGGACGGGTGTTCTTGGCTACGTTCTGCGACAGGTCAGTCCCAAGGGTAAGGGGAAGGGGTAAAGGCAGATGCAAAAGTTTGGGTCAACCATTTAAGTCATTGATAACTTAAGGGGGAGAGGGTAATTAGGCCGAGAGGTTTTTGCTTAGATTTGTGAGACTGGAGGAAGGGGCAGGTGAGGACGAGCAAAAAAGATACTTGAGAAAGATGTATGTTAGTTAATATATTGTGTTATTATAAATGTATTACTGTATATTACTTCTTATGGATTGCTAATCACTGCACTATCATCTCGTTTATTTGCATTACTATATCCCTGCATCCCAATCTCACCGCCAGGAGGTGAACATGACTGCCCTTGGCCTGGCCCTCACATACCAGCGCGCTAAGGATCTAGACTTCAGTGAATATTTGTACCTTGAGGAATCCTCGGCAGCGTACAAGCGGCCGGTGCTGCAGCCCGACGTGGCAGGTTTTCTTCGGCCCTTTACAGCATACGTGAGTTTCGAAGCTCGTTTTCACTTTTGCTTTGATTATTTTGTTTTCACACACTTTTTGGTCGAATTATAATTAGTGACATTATGCAAATATCAGTTGTATTAATATGTTCCGGTTTTCATCAAGTTTAATCAATCATTTTCAGTTAAAAATTCCTTCAGCTGAAGTCGATATAAAATTTCCAAGACAAAAGCTATACCACAATGAAGATAAATGATGAATAATGAATGCACCAAATGAAAATAAAG